TTACGGTAAGGTCATAAAACACAGAACTTTGAATGACATAACTTCCAACTATACATACCTCTGAATCAGACACAACGTCCACATCATTGCCAATGGAGTCAATGAAGTCATACGCCATCCCAAAGCTACAGAGAGTAATACAGGTTAATTTAAATGCAATGTCACATTAAACACAGACCTCCTTGTTCTCCAAAGGAGGTCAACCCTCTGAAAACTTTTTCTTAATAAAAAGTAGTCTAGCTAAACATTACCAGGATCGATGAGATCTAAAGTTAGTTAACAAAACCATTTTGACATCCCACAAGTTCCCCAAATACATCATTGGAAGTGCTTAAATCTGAGTTCAAGATATCCTAAAAAGCTGTTTTATTGAAATCAAGGCAATCTGAAATATTAAACAAGTTGATTGTTTATTTAAATTTAAACCGCAAACTGCTAAGTTTCACTAGCTAGCTGACTGAGCATGAATTTGCTTGATCAGCACTGATTTAGGAATTATTTATGAACTCCATGAACTCACCTCATTCAACTAATTTGCAAACACAGGGGATCGGAATAAACGATCTTTCAATGCCCCTTCCAAACCTTAACGTTCTGTGAAACATCCGTACAGAAGGGTGACACTGCTTTTTTGAGCTCGCCCCTTATATTACCGTATGGGTTCACTGATAAGAGTATGAAGGGTTTTTTTTTTTTGCTTATTATCTTATTTCTTAGATTAAAAATATAAGCCGAAGAAGCTTAAAATATAAATTAGCTTATTTCTAAATCTCCTGAACAGCCATAAGGGGGCTCCTCGGCTACCCAGGGGTACTGGATTTGTCCCATTTCCATCCCTGACGGGAAGCAGAGCAGCTGAATCAGCCTCCTTTCTGATCAACTGACAGCAGCCAACCAGAGAAGCACGTGAAGCTGGTGTCACTTAATGATAAATCTTAAAAAAAAGTTTAGATATATTGGTGTTATAGATATATTGGTGTTATTAATCGCTTAGAAAGGAAGCAAGGTTACAGCATAAAGAGCGGGTAATGAAGAAGTAGAAGAAAGGTCCAGAAAAAGCAGCATGCAGTTGTTATAAATAGAGTCTTTACTTAGAATTCTGCAGGGTCTGAGCTCGCTGTTAGATTTATCATTAAAGATAGACTAAAAAAAGCCAATTCTGGCGCACCCACCTCGAGAAAGGCGTACTTTTCTTGCTGCTGCCCAGGATGGCCGTGCCCGCCGGCCCCAGCCGGGCGCTCTCCCTCAGCCAGTTGGCGGGGGGCAGCTTCAGGTCGGTTTTCTCCTGCAGGCGGGCGAAGGCGGCCTGCGGCGGGGCGGAGGAGTACTTCACCACAGCGCTGCTCTTCACCGCCAGCGAGCCCTGCTCCCCGGAGAGAAGCTGCGCTTTAGAATTACCAGCAATTAACGCCCGCACCCGTCATTAAGAGCCTGTCCCTGCCGCTGCCCGGCCCCGTTAGTTACCTGCTTGGGCTCCTCCGCCTCAGCTCCCCGCGGGGCCGCGGCCGGCCCGGGGCCGCGGGGCTCCGCCATCTTGTGCCCGCCGCGGGGCTCCCTCCGGCGGCGGGGGCACGGCCCCGGGGTGACGTCACGGGATCGCGTCACGGCGCCGCCGCCGCCTCTCGCGCGCTTCCCCGTGAAGTCCCAAGAGGCGGCGGAGGGCGGGAGGCGGCCGCTAGGGGGCGGGGGCGGGGGCGGGGGCGGGGCGGAGGGAGGGGGGGGATCGCGACATGTCGGCGCTGTGCCGAGCTTAATTAGGCTCGTTAGGGGTGAAAAAGCCCCCCACAGTCACATGGTTCTAGCACCAGTGTCCCCACTGAGCCGTGTCTCCAAGCACCACGTCCAACCTCTCCTGGAGCACCCCCAGGGACGGGGACGCCACCGCCTCCCTGGGCAACCCGTCCCAACGCCTGGCTGCTCGTCCTGAGGAGAAATGTTCCCTAATTTTCAGTCTAAACCTCCCCTGGCACAACTCAGGCCATTCCCTCTGCTCCTATCACTAGTTACCTGTGAGAAGAGGCCGACCCCAGCTCCCCACACCTCCCTTTCAAGCAGTAGCAGCGAGCAATGAGGTCTCCCCTCAGCCTCCTCCAGCCCAAACACCCCCAGTGCCCTCAGCCGCTCCTCACAGGAGTTGTGCTCCAGGCCCTTCACCAGCTTCACAGCTCTTCCCTGGACACACTCCAGGGCCTTGATGTTGTAGTGAGAGGCCCAGGACTGAACACAGTGAAGGGACAGGCTGTCTGGGCATGCAGTGGGGCTTTTGGGTATGCTGAGAGGGTGCAGCGTTAGGGAAACCATCTGGAAACCTACAGGCACCCTAGGTACAGAGTAACGAGCTGTGGCATGCTGGCCTCAGCTTGCACTCCAAATTTGGCAGAGGCTTAGCTGTGAAGTGTTAAGCGAATTACGCCATGAATAGCACCCACAGGCTTTTCCACACTCATCATTCATTGTTTTTCTATTACGTGGTATTGTGCCTTCCCTATGCCAAAGCCACAGGTTTTTCATGTGACACCTGCATGCCACAAGAGAGTACAGTTGGTGACTGGTCCAGAAGTTAGTTGTACAAATTCTGGCTGGCTGGCATCATCCCCCAAACAATTCACATAGAGCCAGTGGGCAGGGTCTGCCTTTCTTTACTGGGGTACTTCTCTGTCCTGCCACTGATCCTCATTGAGCTTAGGTGTCCTTAAATGTCCTTGAATTTATTCCATTCTCTCAAAATTCGTTGAACATGACCTGAAGATTTGAAAATTATTAGGCAACTTGACAGACTGCAGTTGCATAAGTCTCGTTTCCCTTGTAAACCAAGCTAAACCAGTCTAATGTTGCATATTTTTACTAGCGCAAAGTGTATCTCTTGGCAATAATGCCATAAATAACAGCAATATGTTTTTGTATGAAAACATATGTATACAATTTATTGAAGTTATAACATTCCTTTAAAGTACTATTTCAAAGCAGTTTCAGTCAAACCTTTATTGAATTGGAATTACGCCTACTGCCATTGCAGACAGGAAGAACACATAATTATTTATTCCTTAGTTTCTTTGGAGTCCATTTATAGTGTTAGGATGGGACTTGTCTAAGTTTCATCTTTAAATTTATATTTTTTACCTTTATTCATATCTTAGTGGAAATCAGCTGTAAATATGTAAGTACTGTAGTCCTTCAGGGAAAAAAAAAATAATGGAAAAAAGGGGAAAAACTAAAGAGCTACCACTGGGTATTTAAAGCTAAAGTGCTGTTTGTTTGAGTTTGCAATAATGGGCCTCAAGTTATTGAATCTGAAAATAACTAGAACAGAATGAAAACAAACTGTAGGCTCATTCCCTGTCTGTCACATTCTTCATTATCCTTCTCTGGTTGTTCTGTCACTGACTTCCTTGGTCTTAAAAATAGCATGAGCTATCTGCATAGCCTTGTGATCTGATCCTGGCACACATCAGTACAGTTCATTACACTCAAGGCTGAGAAGACAATGTAATCACCTAAGACTTTCAACACATGTTGATCTTACAGAGTGTTTACAGTTTTTTTTTTTTTCTTGACCTCAATTGCATTATCTGGAACAGCTTATTTTTCATACACCAGGTTTACATTAGCATCAACTAGATTAACACCACAGAAGTCTTTTTATGTTGCAATTAAAAGTAACTTACAGCATGGCATCATTAATAATAACATTCAAATTATTGTTCGTATCTATTACCAAAACTTCAGCAGATACCTAGAGACAAAGTAGGTCATTTAAAAGAAAGCCTTGAGAAATGTCAGGATGGCAGCTAGCATTCCCAAATATCATTACCTGTGTCTGATAGTAAGATTGAAAATTTGACTTTGCTGAAGGAACTTTGTAATTTTCTTTAAAACAAATGTCTATGACTGTCTGAATCATTCATACTTAAGTAATACAAGTACCATATTTTCTGTCATTTAATTTGCTGGCTATAGCATCTGAGTCCCACTGAAATTAGCCTTGAATATCAAGGCTATGCTGGAAAACAGGCCAGTGCCACTTGCCATTCAAGTGTTACCTTCTTGACAGTCTGTCAAGGCCTGGGAGACAAAGTCTTGGTTTGTGCCTGATTTAGTGAGGATGTTTGCCTTGGCTACTGCCCATGAACAGGCTTGTGTACAGGTAAGCAAGGGCTTTGTCTCTGCCCCAGTTTTTCTTCTTGTGGAAGAAGCCTTACATTTCGGTCCATTCTCTACTTCCATAAAAACATTACAAATTGTTATGTGTACAAAAACGTCTTCTACACCCATCTAAGGGTCAGTAACAGGAATGAACATACTGGGAATCCTGCAACCAGCAGACAAGTGGCACAGTACAGATCACCCCAAAGCCACCCTTCCATGACATCCAAGCTCCTTTGCAGACTTGTCCCTGCTGTTTTCCCTGACCTACACCCAGTGCTCCTGAGCAGCGCTCAAGGGCCAGGTGTGCTGGCAATTACACCATACAGGTGGTTGCAAGTTAGTCCTCAGACCTCAAGGCAAAAAAAAAAAAAATCCCTCAGGTGCTGTCAGTTTTTTTAAACAAATATGTTTTGTGGATGATTAAGATGCATATGTGTGTAAAGCAATTTTGAAAAGTGCCTGAAATTGCATCTTAGAAGTAATGTACCTAGCGTCCTTGTTTTTTTTTCTGCCCAAATGACTCTTCAGCTACTACCATTCAGATTGTAAAGTGTCACTTAAGTGCTGGAAGAATTAAAAAATCATTTTAAAACTGAACTCCATTTCTCTCACTTTTGAAGACAGCATTCACTACTTGTGCTGCATTTTTTCCTACTGCAGCGAACCAGTAAGAGCAGCGGTTTTGCTCATCTGTTGATCCGCTTTACTGAAATGCCAGCATCACTTGGCAACCCCATCTCACAAAATACAAAGGCACAACACTAAAAATACGACTTTAATGAGCTTTGCCAACATCTGTTGGCTGGGGCTCCTGCACATAAACTACAAATCCTGCAAACTTTCCCCACGCCTGAAGGGTTCATGGCATGGAGACTGTGACCCCTGCCCACTTTATGGTGGGGCCTCTCCCCAAAACCCTGCACGGGTCAGAGCTGGAGGGGACAGGGGGGGCTCAGAAGACACCCTGCTTTCTCCCCACACTGTCACCATGGAGCTCTGGGGGTTCTTCTCCTCTGTGAGGGGAACAAGATGCCCACCATGGCAACCGTGGTGTGCCGGGGGGTTCCAGCCAGAGTGGCAAGGGCCAGCGCCACGCACGGAGCCATGCCCAAGGACAGGTGGCCCAGCCCAAGCGCAGAGCGCCCCGGTGCCTGGGTAAGGGGTGGTGGGAGGGTTTTTCTTAAGAGACAAAGCTGCACAGGACTTTTTATTTAAACCTTGGACTGGGTGAAAAGCGATGTGCTGAGGGTGACGTCCCTCAGGGAGGAGAGCCCCCAGGCTGCCCTCCCGAGTCACAGGTGTTTTTGGGGGAAGCGGCACTTTGCACTCCCGGCATTTATGAGGAAAAATTGTCCTCCATATTCACAAAAACTACACTAACGCAGTCTCAAACTGAGGTTTTTATTTATTTATTTTTATTTTCTTTCAGTTTTCCAGCAATGCTTGAGGTCTTTTACATTTATCCCTAATTGATGGTCTCCTGGGAGATGCCAGCCGACATTTCCTCCAGCTCCCGCCCTCAGCGGCCTCTCGGCAGCGATGGCGCAGCACTTTTTTCACTCCCTTAAGCCCTCGAGCCTAGAATTTCTGAGTCGTTCCCAAAAGTTTTGTGCTTTCAAGCCTCCTGTCATACAAGCGCAGGAGTAGCGTGGGGATAAGAAGGAAACAGAGACAAAGACGTTAAATGGTTTTACGAGGCCGAGTATCATTATAAAAACAATTTCCGGAAAGTTCTTTTAGAAATAATGTTCTTGTCCATTTTACCGATCCATATCGTAAGTTTTTGGTAGTGCTTGCACTGTGTGGGGGAGGCTCCCGATGCTTCTAAGGGCCACTAGGTGCTGCTCCAACACCAATAATACAAAAACAACTGGGAAAACACAATTTCCCCCACATTTCTGACCTGATTTTTTTCTTTTTAATTGATGGCAATGTTTACTATTTCCTAGTTTGCTCATGTTGGAGGATGCCAGAGTCAACCTGAGTCAACCACCAGCTCTGCCCTGAAGCAGGCCCGGGACGCGCAGGCGGCCCAGCACATGGAGGGCAGGCTGCCGCCCGCATACAGGGCTCGGGAGCAGGTGAGTTACCAGCTCTGCAAAATTCAGCCCGTTACAGACACTTTCTGCACGGTACCGCTTGCTAAAGTTTAAGAATAGCACTTAGATTTGAGGTAGTTAGCAGGGCAGTTGCAGCTTTGTGCCTCAAGGAGTGAAATGACTGCCGGCAGTGCAAAGGGAGAGATGTATTTCACTGTTACTTGGCTACAATTTGGGGTACTCACAGTCCTGCTGGTCTCCACTGCCAGTTACTTTTCCCTTTTATTAGTTATTATACCTGTCTGAGACACGCTTATGTGCCAGAATATTTTATGATCGATCTCAGTCCAAAATCTGTGTGTAAAGTAGCCCTATAAAAGCATTTAATTGAAATTTGACAATCCGTTTTGAATTGTCAGAAATTGTGAATATTCAAACGAATTATTTTTGCTTATTAAAAAGTTAGAAACTTCCTATCTGAAGCATCGTTGAGGTTTCCTTCATAGTGAGAATTGAGATAATTTTGGAAACAACCAGCAGTAATTTTAAATCCTTTTTAAAATACTACATTTTCAGAAGCACATCTTTATGTCCTGTTTTTATCATCACGCTGAGTTTTGCTTTGCACACCCACTTTGCACACAGAATATTTTCTCTTTTCATTTTCTGTAAGCATAGCAATTATACTGAGTTCATTTCACAAATTTTGCTATAATGAAGGGCAGAAATGGGCAAGGAAGGAATATTTAAAAGGGTAGCTTGTGGCTAGTGAAAAGGAGACAATTATAACTATACATGATGCTGATTTTCTATCTTTCTGAGGAGCATCTGGCCGTAAACACTGTTTGGAAAGAACCAGGTTAGATAGATGTTTATCAACACTAGTATGACTGTTTACCTGATGTTATTCTGCCTTGTGTTGAGCAACCCTTCACTGTTGAAAAGCATTAGTGGAATTCCTCTCTCTCATTAATCAAGAATTAAAATGAGGTTAGTACTAAGAGTACAAACAAGCATCGAAGGCTAAAATTTGATGTCTTGTGAACAATCTGAGGAGGAAGATGACATATGTGACATTTTACAAAGAATGCTGATGGGTGTTGGAAGCTCACTGCATGCGAAGCTGGATGTTTCTAATCTCTTTGTATGAGGGAACTCGCTCACTGTGAGGTTAATTAATTATCTAAGAAATATAGTACTTTTAAGCTTATATTATATCTCATTTATTACTTTGTGGTAGGCACGCAATTATTCTGTAAGAGATTTTTGTAAACATTACTTAATATGGGGAATCCTTCCAAGAACTTATATTTAACATGTAGCATCTTGATTTTCAATTTTCCTGTAGCATATAGGCACTACTAATAAACACTACTCCTAAAATGTTCACATTGATGTGTAATTGCACTAGGATATTTTAGTAAGTCTAATATTTTACTGTCTTTGAAGTTGTTTATTTTTAAGCACATCCAGAAGAATTTATCTGTTGAACTTAACCAGGCTACGGTCTGCTTGAATCTATACGAGAGAACAAGTGAACATGTGGTATCTCCCCTCAAATATAGAGAATCTGTCTACTATACCATATAGGCTAAGATAGGATCATGCAACTGGACTGCAATGCAATCAGGCAAATTCTGTATTTGATCAGTCTTCTTGCTCAGGCAGGCCTTTAGTTATATTTAGAACTAATTCAGGTTTTATCTCATAAAATCCACTTATTCTTGAAACACATTTAAAAATATATATTTTGCTGTTTTACATTAGAATTTCCTCCTCTGTTTGGAGGTGAATATCATAGTTGGAAGATGAAAAATGTATTCCACATGGGTAAAATTAAAAAACACCAGAGCATTTACAGAGAAAATAAAAATCCCAACATTAAACAGGAAAATAATGTTTGAGGAAGAACAGAGGCCATCTGAATAGTCCAGAAGAGCTTTCAGTGTTTATTTTTTTGCTATTTTAAAAATATGCTAATGATATATAATAAACAAACTTTAAAAAATAAATATGTTAAATTACTTTTTTTTTTACAGTTGTCCTTTTTTCTTCTAAAATTCTTGTTTCATTTTAGAGTCTGGATGAACATTATGTTAAAAAATGGAATTATAAATCAGTTATGTGATTAATACCTCCTCCGCTTCCCCTGCAACAAGCAGTGTACATGACATTCAGTACATAAATCATAGATTAATTCAGTTTTGAGGTCCCTTTTGTAGTTCATTTTAATTAGCTTTGGGCTTGCTAGTGAACAAAACAAGGCAATCCTGACATATATCTCATATTTTGTTGCTTGTATGTAACATTTCTTATTTGAAAATTCATGCTTTTATATTAATCATGTATATGTTCAACAAGTCAAGGGAACACAAATCCTCCTGATTATTTTGTAAAAAATAAAAGGAAAAGAAAAAAAAAGAGAGTCCATTTTGTCCCAATAAAATTATGTGTAAATGAAGATTTAATGTATGAAAGTGACTTCTGTGTTAGAATGGAGAGCTGTAATTTCAGCATCTGCCAGAATGTAAGAACTAAGACTAGTAGACTCCAAACAAAGTATGTGAAAATTCATATTTTTTTTTCCATTTTTTTTTTTCAGAAAGCAGTGAAAAACAACTTCCCATTTTCTTCTCATGACAACAGACACTGCCTACAGAATGTGGGAGAATATTTTGATTTTGTAAGTACCCAGCACTGAGAAAAAACAGCAAGATTGTTATCTTTTCTCTCCCTTGCAAAAATTATCAATGCTTTAAATTGTGAGAAAAATGTAAATAGCAAAGAAAAAACACACTTTTTATTAGTATAGGGATGTGACTTCTCTGGGACTGGCACATGTATACAGCAGCACAGATGGTCATTGAGAATTCAAGAGGAACATAAAACTCTGTGATCTGGGTCTCTGACAGGCATTTTCTAGTGGTTCTGCTAGGTATGGCTTAACATGATTTTGTACCCAGTTACATGTCCTATTACTCAGCTACAAGTGATTGCCTTTGGTATTGGGGGAGTCTTAGCCACTTCACAGCCCCACAATTCACAGTCCCACATGTTTGTTTCAGACTCATCTTCATAAGTTTAAGCAAAATCCATAGGACACCCACAATATATCTTCATACCTTATTTCCCCATTACCTTATTTCCTTTCCTATTATCTTATTACCTTATTTCCTTCATGCCTTATTTTCCGTTTCATCTCTCTTTAAACAAAAGACCTGTCTAAATGTGTTTCAATGTATGTTGCAGAAGCCACAATTCCGAGATTTTAAATTGTTCTGGCTTTACTGTATGTGACAGAGGTTCATGTTTTTCAGCTTTTTACATCTTTCCAGGCAGTGAAAGAAACTGAGTAGTTTACAAGGTAAAGAATAAAGGAGGAAGAAGCAAACTGTGATATTGAAAGCCTCCCTGACTTTGGGCTGTGTTAGACCTAGCTTTTGGGTTTTCATAATTCATTAATACCGAGTAACCTCCATTTCTGTGCACTTCATGCAGTGTCTCACAGTTTTAGAGATACTAATCAAACATAATTTCAAATAAATTTCCTGCAAGCTACAGACTGTGAAATCAGGCTCCGTTTCTCGGTGGGGATAGTTTTGAAGACTCAGATTTCACAGTCTGTCTCAGTTTCTTTGCTGCAGTCCAAACATAAAATTATTAACCTAATTCTCTGGGTTACTCTGAAGATTAGTTTAGCCAAGTATAGCTAAATATCTTCAAGTATATAGTATGCTAGAGAAACACAGAGTGTAAGTGGTTTATTAGCAGTAGTAATGGATGGAAAGTCAACATATTTCCTATTATATATGCAACCAGAAATGTTCGTACAGGCAAGTCTGGCAATATTATTTTTAACTTGCTAAAGATCAACCATGAGTTCTTGAAATCGCTGTGGTAACAGCTTTGTTAACTTCCTGGTGGGGTAGTGACTGTTACAAGCTTCATCTGTGAAGCTGTGATTGTAAGTCATATGTTTACATGAATTTTTCTTTCATTCTTTTTTTTCTAGGGTATGGGCCGGAGAAAGGTAGAACCAGAGAGAAGGCAGCAGAACTCACAGAACTTCTTCCTGTGGGCTCACGAATCAGTTCCTAGCAGTGAGGATGGCTTAACCATTTATCAGACATCATTTGTGAAGGATCAGAATACTGAGAGCCCATTCTGTAGGCGATACCCAAAACACCACACCAAAGAATCTCGCACTGACAAATCTGCTCCTGAGAATGAAAAAAACATGCAACCAAACAAGTCATCATAATTATAAAAACACCTTTGTAGCACTGCCTTACATAATCAGAGCCTTTTCTGGAGATCTGAACTAGTTGTCACTCAAATGAATGATGAAATAAACGTGTAAAGTGAATAAAGTGGTAGTGTAGCTGTGAGTTCTTTGAAGTCAGCAATCCTATGTTACTATGAAAACATGCATTACTGTAAAAAAAATAAAAATGAAGAAAAACATTATGAGGAAAAGCATGATTGTACATACTTTTAGAAATACCTGTATTAGGAGAACAGAGGTAGTGACTATACTTGTGTTATTTGATACTGGTTGATCCTCATCTTCACACAAAAGCTCCTTCAGCTTCAGAATCAATGGCACGGCTATACCTCAAGCAGCTGACAGCATCTGTGTTGACAGAAGTATATAATGGAACTGGATCCTTGAGGGTTCACCACAGCAGGGAGCCAAAACTGCATGTTCAGATAGGAGATAAACTTTACTGAAAGGTTTTATGGAGATGAAGGCATGTTGCTAGCCGTTAGGGAAACTAGATAACAAAGAAGCTGAGCATTAGATTGCTGCGCAAAATAACTGTGATGCTTTGTTGTAACACAGCAGTTGTGTAAGTAAACAATGAAAGGATGTGGCAGGCAATGTTTGTGTGCCTGTGTGGTAATGCTAGAAAATGGGATTGTATGTACATATGTGTCATTCATGGCAGTAAGGCAAAAAACAGCTCAAGCTGAAAGTGCAAGGCTGCATAAAAGTTAGTTTCAAGTAGACTGGCTCTGAACAGAACTGATGGTTTTATAGTTACATGTCCCCGAGGAAGTGGATTCAGAACCAATCCTCCAAGCACTCTGCTCCCAGGATACTTACTGACTTTAGTTATGAGATGCATTGGAGTCAGACCTCCAAATAATGTGTTTTCCTCTTCTGGATCACTTCCATTAATATCAATAAAATAAAAGACAAAACTATGTATCTTAAAACATACTATAAATAAGCTTGTTGCTATGCAAAATATTTTTTTTTCTTTGTTTACAAGATAAATGGAAAAAATAAACTCTAATCCCTTAGAATTTCTTGCACAGTAACAGATGCCAGAAAATGAACTATGTTAAGAAATGATTTCTTCCTTTCAGTAAACAGACACATCTTTTTGTACCGGCTTGCAACGGGTGATCTTTCTGTGTGCCATCAGCATAGATTATATTAGAACATTTCCCCAAACATGTAGCAATTTTATGAGCACATGCTGAAATAATAAACTTTTTATATGTGAAGTTTCCCTTACTAAAGTTCTTGGAGTATACACACAATATGCAGAAATGCAAAACATCATAGAACAATGTAAGAACAGATAAAAAGCCAAGCAACATAGTGTGATTAAAAAGAATTATTTTTTTTTCAAAGACTGTCTGCCTGACAACTCTCGAGTCAGAATTTCCAGAGCTTTAGCCAACAATTTCATCTCCAAACCGATTCAAAACTAATGTGTGTGCCAATCACATGGTAAATGAAGTACCCCATGCTGTTTGGCATGCTCAAGAGGGCAATCTTGGACCTCCATCAGAAGGAAGAAACACATTCTTGCTACATTGGTAATGTTTATCTATGGTTTAACATTACAACTGGATATAGTGAACTAAATTGCTGTAGTTTGTTATGCCTTAAAACACCAGTAGGAAATTCCAGATTTTTTTTTTCACTTTTTTTTTTTTTTTTTTTTCTCAGATTTTGACTCAAATATAGATTTATTTTAGAAGTAACCGGATTCGTCTCGTTCCATGTTCTCAGCATTATGATAGAGATTTTGGAGGAGAAACTGTAGAGCTCATGCAACCTCTGTACAAATTGAAATACACTGTGCTGGGCTGAACAAAACTGGTGATTCCCACATACCACATGCTCTGACTGTGTTTCTTTAGTAAATAACATGAGACGCAATACGCTGAATTTTGAACTGAATGATAAAAGCCCCAGACAAATTCCCCAGAAAGTCATAGCCTTGTATAGTTTGGATAAAATCATTGATTTTATTTCATCCCTTTCACAATAATGTCTCTGAGAAGAAGTCCCAATTGTGTTAAAACACTTTTTCGATATTTTTATTTTCCTTCTTCTTCTTGGGGGATGGGAGAAAGTGGAGGAGGTCTGGTAACTCCCATAAAGGTTTCCTAGTCAGTGCAGGAAAGCGCTGCCGGCTGGTAGTTAATTAGGATCAGATGGGTGGAGGTAGGCTCAGCACAATGAGCACACTATGGGTTAACTCAGCCAAATACTGCTCTGGAGAGGCAGAGGGTTTAGGGGGTATGCTCTACCTCATGCTCATACAGATGGGCTTTTCTGCACTTTTTTTTTTTTTTTGGAAAAGAAGAAAAAAAAGTTTTTTTTTTTTTCAAAGTTTCCTTGAACAGGATCTTCAACAACTTGTGCACAGCCAGAACCTCTGTACAGAAACAGACTTTGTCCTTTTGAACAAGCAGCAGTTGTAACGCTCTGTTTTTTCTCCTGAGCCTACATCAATTTGGGGACTGTCTGTACAGCTTTCTTAAGCAGTCTCTTTCACTTTAATTTAAAAGTTATTTCAGTATGTTAGCTAAATTCACAGAATTCAAGCAAAATTGATCAACGGAGTTTAAACCAAGGGAATAGACACAAGGCTATAAGTTCCTTTGGTTCAATGAGTTGATACTCCTCCACTGAACCTGGCAACTGGCTGAGATTGTTTAATTAATATGTTTTGAGCTGAAGAACAGCAGCTTTGTCACTTACCTTTCTGTGCCCTCCGTCAAGAGAGCCCATTTCTCAAGTTGTGTCAGGTCACCTGCATTGGAATATGGTTTTATGTTTGTATTTGGATGGTTATGTACACGTTTAAAGTATTTTTTTTTCTTTTTTTCTACGCTATGCACTGATAACTAGATCTGATAAAATGATCTCAGTCCAAGCTGTGTTTACGTGGAGCACGTAGCCTTCTGGTAAGGTAGATGTCAGCCTTCCTTCTGCAGTTGTTCCACTTATAAAATGCCATGACCTCTGAAATACAGTCATTGTCACCCTGATGGGCAAACTGCTGATGTGGTGTGATAGCAGATGAGTTTGGTTTTCATACAATAGGGGGCAATATATAAGTTTTTCCTTTTGTTTACTTGCTGTCTAAAGCAGCTTAAGGAAGGAGGATGCTTGATGCCCGAATTGCCTGCCCCGTGGGTTGGGTTGGGCAGGAGGTGGAGTGCTGCTGCTCTAGGGGCTGGTAATTCAGTGGGGATGCAGCAGCTTGACTTCCAAGTCATCTGCTGCTAATCGAATCACTGTGCTCATAATCAAATCCCTGCGTGTAGCTCAAATGTGGTTTCTTAGCGTGTGCTCTCAAGGTTAGTCAGAGTGAAGTAACTCGATATAAATGGTGCACTGAAGATGAGTATTTTTTCCCTCCCCAAGCTGGCAATTCTGTTGCAGATCTGTCTAAACCCACAACTGGTGCTGTTTTATTCACGGCGATGTATTTCAAAGTACAATCTTTTTAGTGTAGATAATACTAATCTTTATGAAATGTTCTTATACTGGGTAAGCTTTTCCCTAGCCAAGTGAAATACTAGAATAATTATAATAGTGCTATTGTTGAACCACAAGTATAGGTCTCTGTCTAATAGAAAAGTGATTGTGCTGGTTGACAAGAAATACTCCTGAAGCACGTAGGAACTTTGGATTAGGCATCTCTATGTTTAAATCAGCTTTTAACTTCCCTCTGTCACTGCTGCATCATCTGATGACACAGATCACTAGGGGAAAAAACAGAGACACATTCCTCTCGGGGATGAGAAAGGACTATGTACAGATATATATATATATATCAAACATCTTGCTTTATGCATGCCTCCCTGCCAAAGTATGAAAATAATAAGCTGTTAAAACATTATCTCTGGAATATCAAATTAAAGGCAAGCCTATTCAGCAGGGAAGGAATCCTAACTGACCTTAATTTGGATGTATGGCAATAGTGGGTGTGAACGAACCATTAGAGCAGCCCGATTTATGATTCAGTCAGGCAGCCGTGCAGCATTTATGAAAAGCACATTGTCAGGTTGCCGTCCTGTCAGCTCCCGGTTTATTGTACTTCCATATAGTCACCTGAAAGTGAAGCATCTCGGGTCATCCTCTCTGAAATGTTGCATACAGAAAGGAACCAAGCTTGAAATAGGTAATTTTCAGACCAACAGAATCAAAGAAGACCCAGGGGACATGTCTAGTCCTACTTCCCACTCAGGCTGGATTGGTGGCAGCACGGGATCGGCTCAGTTGTGGCTTTCTCAACCTGAGTCCTGCCTTCAGTACCGAGGGGATAACAACATCTCTCAGCCTGCTAATGGGAGGTGCTTCTCAAAGCCTTCATCTCTCCTGAATCATGAAGTTGAAATCATCTTTGAAAAGTCTGTAAAACAGGTGGGGCGAAAAAAGTGAACTTGCATTTTCTTGTTCTCCTTCTTTCTATAGGTAATGTGCAGCTAATTTTGTATGCACCAGAAGTGGAAACTGTAGACCTTTCCAAGATGATTCATTTAAACCCCTATTAATCTACCAGTGGATGCAAGAGACACCATTAAGGCTCCTACCTAAAATGCTGTTTCTGGAGAAGTCCAATGTGCCTTCGTCTTGATAGCACCAAACACAAACCTCTATAGGGAAAAGGTCCACAAATTAATGATTCTTCTGTCACCACTGTGCCTTACATCAGGAGGAATGCTCAAACGTGTCAAGTTCTTCAGAGGTTATGAAAAGAGCAGCAATTATCACGTCTTTGTGTAAAACCTTAATTATTGCAACACCCATTGGGAAGAGGTTATTCTATGTCCCTACACTTGGAGGAAAGAGGCTGTGGGTTTTTACACGGTGGTGCAAGTTTTCTTGGCCTTCCTCTTACTGAAACCGTCTCACGTGCATGTAATATTTAGATGTTCATCAGATCAGCAAGGGGATGCTCACATATGTACATGGACGAGCACGATGATCCAGCCTAAGGTTTAGGACACCCCCAGGAGAGGGGCTTGCCTGGATCCGGGTCCTTGTATGGATTTTAAATTTGAAATAAACATGAAGTGAAGCAAGGACTGGCGCTCAGGTCTGCCTCCTCGCAGGTGAG